TGTAAGATACACCTCAGAAAAAGGGTTAATATCCAGAATCTTCAAGGAGCTTAAATAACTCAGCATGAAAAAAACAAACAGCCCCATCAAAAAATGGGCAAAGAACATGAATGACACTTCTCAAAAGAAGACACACAAGTGGCCAGCAGACATATGAAAAAATGCTCAGCATCACTAATCATTAGAAAATGTAAATTAAAATTACAATGAGTTATAATCTCACAGGAGCAAGAATGGCTATTAGAAAGTCAAAGAACAGATGTTGGTATGGTTGCAGAGAAAAGGGAACACTCATTCACTGTTGATGGGATTGTAAATGAGTTTAACAGCTTTGGAAAAAAGTATAGATTCAATGAATGAAAATTGAATTACCTTTAGATCCAGCAATCCCGTAACTAGGGATCTACTCAAAGGAAAATAGATCGGTATATAAAAAGATACCAGTACTTGTATGTTTATGATAGCAAATTCATGGAACCAACCTGAGTGCTCATCAACAATTGACTAGATAAAGAAAATGTGGTATATATTATATACACCATGGAATACTACTCAGCCATTTAAAAAAAAAAAAAAAAAGAAAGAAAGAAAGAAAGAAAGAAATCATGTCCTTTGCAGTAACTTGGAAGGAGCTGGAGATCATCATCCCAAGTAAACTGACTAGGAAACAGAAACGCAAACACTACATGTCTTCACTCATATGCGGGAACTAAATGATCACAAAGATGGAAATAATAGACCCTGGGGACACCATTAAGTGGGGAGGTGAGGAGGGAAGTTAGGATTCAGAAATTACCTGTTAGGTACATTGCTCACCACTGGGGGAATGGGCTGCCTGAGACCTAGTCCCCACCACTACACAATATGTCTGGGTAACAAACATGCATATGTACCCCCTGAATCTGAAATAAAAGTTTTTAAAAAAGATATTACTAAGATTCTAGTTACACATGAAGCTGAAAACAGTGTTACTTCTGTGAAAGGATATATTAAATACTCTGTAATAGAAGTAAAATAATGTTGAAAGAAATTAAAAAAAAAAAAAAAGAGCATTACCAGAAAGTCTGCACCCATATGGGGCAACAACTCATGTATAAGTAAATAAAATAAGCAAAATATATTCATGTATATATAAAGTTGTTTGATATGCTTTGAAAGTATAGATGGGCCGGCACTTTGGGAAGCCCAGGTGAGTAGATTGCCTGAGCCTGGGGATTCAAGACCAGCCTAGGCAACTTGGCTAGACCTCGTCTCTACAATAAATAAAAAATTAGCTGGGCACGGTAGCGCATGCCTGTAGTTCCGGCTATGTGGAAGGCTGAGGCGGAAGGATTGAGGGAGCCCTGCAGCTTGATGCTGGAGTGACCTGAGTGTGCCAGCCTGGGCAACAGAGTGAGTCTCCAACTCAAGAAAAAAAAAGTATGGATGAATCAGGGCAGAGAGGGAGATGGAATATGAAAAACCTATTCTGCATATATCCGATTAAATAAATAAATGTTGCTAGACTCACCTATAGGCTAAAAAAAAAGTACTGATTTTGAAAACCGTACTCCAGAAATCACTATGTGATAGATTAAAATATAATTTAAAAATAGAGGTAGTTATAATGAAGAATAAAATTATTTGAGAAAAAAGAAAACAACAACACTACACAATCCAGTTGGGCAAGGTGATGGGAATTTTGATAATGGAGAGGGCACATATTTAAATAACACACACTCACCAAGACATATACAGACAGAATGGAAATTTGAAATGTGTTCATGAATAAATATTTCACTCAGGGTATATTCAGGCCTCAGTCTCAAGAATATGCAGGTCATGGTAGGTCTATGACTTGTTGTGTTTCATGTTTCTCTGAGAATAAACCCTAGAAAAGCTATAGTCATAACAGCAGTGTCCTACTTTGTGTGTCCTAGCTCCCTGTCCACTTTGAAAGTACAGAGCACTTGTCCCAGGCATAAGTGTTGTCATTGTTGATGTTATAATGGTTGTTACTCATCATCACTACTCTAATATGTTAAGTTTTCCCTGAACATGACCAGAATTAAAACAATGTTCTCCTGAATGTATAATAACTTCAAGTAATAGCCCTTTCTGTCATATTACACTTCCCCCCATCCTAAAACAGTAAATCTAGGTATCATTTATTTTTCAACTATAGAAAAATAATGTTTTGTTACTTCATCCCCTTAATCATGAAATAAGTTTTTGATTGTACAGTAATATGGTATATTGCATACATTGGGTGGTGCTACAGTTCGAGGACAGTAGGCAATTAATAGATATATCTCTCCATTTTGATTGAAGGGTCATGGCACATGCATTTCCAAGCAACCTAAGAGTCAAACCACCATCTGATTTAACTTTAATGCCACCATTTTTCAATTTGAAGCAATTATATGGTGTTTTAGGGTTTGGTATCTCAATGCTGATGCTATATCCAAAACACAATTAACATTTTGTGAGAAAGTAGATAAAGGAGCAGCTTTATGCTGACATAGAAGTACAACCTTCTAAAGCTAAAGGGAATTTGCCAAGATATGTGCATTGTTAGGAATCAGAGGAAGCAAGGATAACAGATTGTTCTGTGCCGAGCCCCATGAGTCCAGCAGTGGGGCTGGTAGAGAGATGTTATATTTTTTCTTAGACCCAAAAACTGTATACTAAGCTCCCTGAGAGAATTCAAGTTTCCCAGAACTTATTCATTTTAACTTCTCTTATGAGAAGCTAATTAATAAGCCAAAATGTCAGTGTTCTAATTTTTTGTGAGAAATGCCATTGCCAAAGAGATTGTAATACTCATGCTGGCTGTACAGTACTTTGTTTTCAGAGTGGAAAAGCCTACCCTGGCAAGCAAATCAGTACTGTACACTGGGTACTGTGCACTGCAATAAGCTCTGGTGATTAAGGGTTAAATGAATACTTGGTCTAAAGAAAAATATGCAAATAAATCATTCAATATAAGTACAATGATGGACATATAATTAGGGTGTTATGGAGTGCAGACTATAAGTTCCTAACCTGGTTTTTGGGTAGAGTGGGGAGTCAGAAAAAGTATTTTGAGAATTAAAAGTAGTAGAGTAGAATAAACTAAGTGAAGGTGGTAATTTGGGGGTTGAAGGCAGGGGGATTTGAACTTCTAGGCAGAAGTAACTACATTCATCAAGTTTTGTATGATAAAAAAAGCATGTGGAAAATATAAATAATTAGGAGTTATTGAAACAGAAATTGTATAAAAGGAATGGTGAGCTCTACAGAAGGTAAAAATTAATCTCAGTGATTAATGAAATGAGGAAGAGGAGATAAGAGTTTCTAGCATGAATGATTTAATGGAAGTTGGAGCCATTGAATGATATACTACAGTCAGGAAAACCCATTGAGCAAGTCAGATATTGCAAGATTTCAGTGCTAGACTTAGGGGAGTCATTCTACACATATCTTCCAAGGAGTTCAGTAACAGTACAAGGTTCTAGGCAGAGGCTTTGGACTGGAGATGGTTTTGGAGTTGTTAGCTGGACGAGATGGTATAGATCTTATGAAAGTATGTGAACAAATTTAGAGAGAATCTCTAGAATGAGATTCTTTAACAAGTTAAATGATGAGACCTGGGGAAATGGCTTTTAAAATGTTGATTGATGGAGAATGAGGGAAAATTCTAGAAAAGAGACAGGAAAAAAGATTGTTCTAAGAAGAGCTAGAAGGGTATTTTGTCACTTCAGCTGAGGGAAGAGAGGAATTTGAAGAAAAAGAATGTCACCAATGTTATAAAGTGCTATGAAGTCCAGTCATGCAGAGACTGAGGAAATGTCCTTTGAATTTGGCAGTTATAAGCCACTGGTAACAATAGCAAGAGCTATTGCAGTAGTTGCTTTAGAAACCCAGCTTTGGTGGCATGGGACATGGATAGAAAATGGGAAAATGAAAGCATTGAATTCTGTTCTTTCAAAAATTTTAGTAGAGAAATTGTATGGAAGTTGATAGGGTATGGACATTAAGGGAAGAATATGGGGATAAGGAAGGACCAAGCATGTTCTAGCAAAGGAGAGACTTGCGTATATATCTAAATATACTCATGCCTATATCTTTATAAGCTAAAAAGGAGACACTAGGATCAGAAGTTTGCTTAGTAAGTGCAATCCCAGAGTAAAAAGGGACAAATAATCTTAATGGTTACTGTCTTCTTGCTATTAATTTAATGAGCCCTTCTCAATGTCAGGACTTTGTTTGCCAGCTTCATTTATTTATTTATTTTTCATAGAAAATAGGATTTATTATCACATTCAAGGTGAACACAAATGTTTCAGAAATGTTTTATATACGTCATCAGTAGACTCAACTTATTTCACACACAGAAAATGCTTTCTTCCAGAACACAGGGAGCTTATAGGCATTTCTGTTTCCAGCACAGGAGTTCACATTGACAAGGCACAGCTCACGTTACGTTTGTTCCCAGGTTCAACTGCTCCTGCCCTCACAGACCCTCCACAGTAACGACAGCAGCAAACCAACGGGATTCACAGTAACCGGGAGGAAAGGCCTCCACTGGGGGAAACTTCTCCAAAGCTCTGAGTTGTGGTTCAAAAGCCAAGCTCGGGGGAACTGTGGCCTGCGCCACCAAGTCAGGTCACACCATAGCATGGGGTTGTTAGTATCACAGCTTCATTTCTAGTCAGTCTTGTCAATTAACTTCATTCTGACTAGGAGGGCATTAAACAGGTATGAGAGCCCTTTTGTAGCAACTGGTTGTCCCTCTTGGCCAAAGAAGAGGCAGAGACCTTCACCGAATGCTGGCCCACCCCCACTACCGGTGTCCAAGGCATGCCTATATTGAGGACTCCTCAGAAATCACCACAGAGCCAGCAGGTCACGCCTTAAGGGGCTGTTCCTCAGACTTGTGGGCTGGGCTGTCACAGACAATGCTTGATGAGGGCTGAGCGACACCATGTCCACAAGGGATACCCAGAATGGGCGTCACGAAGAAGGGGGGACATTTAGGAAGCAGACTGGAGAGTTCTGGTAGAGGTCCAATATCCCTGAGTGGCCTTCCTCAAGCATAGTGACATTGGAGTGGGCACAGGCAACTCTTCGGGGCCTCTGCAAAGAGCCCGAGGTGGCTACCTGGGTAAGTCAACACACACACGCCTGCCACCATCTTAGCCCCCTGGCCACGGTTAGCTCAGCTGGCCACAGTCTGTGATGACAGTCTTCTTGGATGTCTTCCCACTCTTAGAGCCATAAGATTCTATTGTCTTCACGACGTCCACGCCTTCTTTGACGTGGCCGAACACAACATGTTTGCCATCCAACCCATCTGTCTTTGTGGTGCAGATGAAGAACTGGGAGCCATTGGTGTTGGGGCCAGCGTTAGCCATGGACAGGACACCTGGTTCCACATGCTCCAGTGTGAAGTTCTCGTCGGGAAAGTGGCTTCTGTGGATGAACGTCCCCCCTGTGCCATTGTGGTTGGCGAAGTCGCCCGCCAGGCACACGGAGGATGGGATCACCCTGTGGAAGGTCGAGCCATTGTAGCCGAACCCCTTCTCACCAGTGCACAGGGCTCTGAAGTTCTCAGCTGTCTTTGGGACCACATCTGCCTTCAGCTCCGGCACCACGCGCGGCCGAGGGCTGCCCGTCGGCGCCCACGCTGGTACACCGGGGGTTCCCGGAGGAGGTAGAGGACGCGTCGCGGGCGCCGCCGCTGCAGGCGCGGACCGCGGGGAGGCGCAGCGGCGCGGGGCGCGGGGCTGGAAGCAGGTGGAACAGGCGGACCCGCAGCGCAGCGCTAGCATCGCGGGCACGGACGGGGCGAGAGGCCGGCGGGGAGAGCGGGGACCAACGCAGCGAGGGCCCCGCGCGCTAGGAAGGCCGAATTCCGCCAGCTTCGTTTAAAAACTCATTTCCCAGCCGGGCTGGGTGGCTCAGCCTGTAATCCCGCGCCTTTGGGAGGCTGAGGTGAGTGGATTGCCTGAGCCCGCGGGTTCGAGACCCGCCTGGGCAGCGAGACCTCATCTCTACAATAAATCAAAACATCAGCCGGGCGTGGTAATGCATGCCTGTAATTCCGGCTACTTGGAAGGTTGAGACGGAAGGATCGCCGGAGCCCAGCAGGTCGAGGTTGCGGTGGCTGGGAGCGGCCACTGCACTCCAGTCTGGGCGACAGAGTGAGACTCCAACTCAAAAAAAACAAAAACAAAAACAAAAACAAAAAAAAACCTCATTTCCCAGCCGGGCTGGGTGGCTCAGCCTGTAATCCCGCGCTTTGGGAGGCCGAGGTGAGTGGATTGCCTGAGCCCGCGGGTTCGAGACCCGCCTGGGCAGGCGAGACCTCATCTCTACAATAAAATCAAAAAATTAACCAGGCGTGGTAGCGCGCGCCTGTAATTCCGGCTACTCAGAAGGCTGAGGCGGAAGGATCGTCGGAGCCCAGCAGGTTGAGGCTGCGGTAGCCGGGAGCGTGTGTACTCCAGTCTGAGTGACAGAGTGAGACTCCAACATAAAACAAACAAACAAACAAAACCTCATTTCCCAGTGAGAACTATTTGAGTTACATTGAAACAAGCTGTTTCTAATATTTGTCGTTGTTACTAGTCAGCAAAAATATTTACCATGATGAATTCTTCATGACAGAATTTTCAATATGGCATTTTCAGTTTATGCCTAAAATCTCAGCACCGATACCAGTATGTTTCTTAAATAGAAAGGTGGTAATTCACAGTCTTAGGTGGGTTATATTGTGGAAAGAGTATGAATCTTATTTGTCTAAAGATACTAGTTTCAATTTAAGAAGATTTTTTTCAACTTCTCAAATCTGAAGGAAGAAGGAATATTGAATTTTAAGAGCATATGGAACGCCTATGTGCAGATTACAGTGGAAAGCTCAGAAGGTAATCTTTGCTTTGAGGGAGCAGAGAAACTTACTCTAGATAGCCAGAATTACCCTTGTTTAGAGATATAAATGACCAGCCTGCACTAAATAAAAGAATTTGAACAATGTAACCAATCACTGTATTTTTTTAAAACTTTGTTAGCAGTGAGTCAAAATGAGTCAAAAACTATACACTCTTATTTTTTTCCTTTGGTGTTCTCGTGTTCTGCAATGGTGTAAGTGTACTATTATTACAAAGAAAGCCGCTTTTTGTGAAGTATGCACCTATTTTTGAGTATTAATCATAAAAAGGTGCTCTGAAAATAAGCAATGGGCATATAATCAGGGACTGATGAAGACCAGGGAGAGCATCAGGGAAAATCGTAGAAATTCGTGCACTCTGCCTCTCTTTTCCCGAATGAACAAAACATTCCTTTCTGTTCATTGCTCATTTGTATTTGCTGGTCAACTGAGTGTATTTACTGAAGGCAGTTGCCTTAAGTAACGTGGTACTCAGTAGGAGGTTGTGAGGGCTAAAAGGTGGTCTTGTTTGAATATAAAGGCCAGGGAATATTTCAGACTTATTAGAATGATTGAGATTCTCTAAACTTTTAAGGACCATTTCTAAGAATAGCATATTGTATTAGAAGGCAATTAGAGCTCATTCTTTTAATATATATTTTTTTAGTTCTTATGGTATGCTGAGTACTAAGATTATAAAAATGAGCAAAATATGTTCTCAAATTCATAATCTGGCAAGGAATTCAGACACAAACAATAAACAATAGCACAAAATGATAATAGATGTTTGAAAAAAGTATGTAGGGCTAAAGTGATTCCTTTTGTGTCAGTTTGGGAAGGAAGCGAATATGCTTTTATGTGTAAAGTTGGATCCTGATAATTAATACCAGTATAAGGCAGAAATAATCTGGCAGACAGTAGTAACATCTTAAACAAAGGCATGTGATTGGAGTACCATATTTGGAGAGACAATCTAGAATAGCTGGAGAGATGAGACATTAGCAGGGTGTATGGAGATGTAACTGGGAAAAGGGAGCCAAGAGATACATGTTAACACTCTGAAAGCCACACCAAGAAGTTGAATCTTGTTGTCTAACTTTGAGGGAACTTCACATAGCACAGCATCATGTCAATATCTCTGAATTGGGGAAAATAGAGTCTGTAGTAGGAAGAAACTAGAAAATAAAAAATTGTAGCCATCCTTATGTGAAATAGTGAGAGATGAATCAAAGCAGGGGTAACAGGATTTTAAAGGAAAAGGAAGTAGACAGAAAATTTTATGTAGAAATTTCTAGATTCAGTGACCAATTTGATGTTGGATGTGAGAATGCAACAAATAAGTAAAAGCAAAATCCAAGAGTCAAGGTGTCTCGTTGTGGTGAGTGATTTTGGTTTTAATGAAGATAGAAAATATAGGAGAAAAAGGAAATTTCAGAAAAGGTGGAGATGAAGTATTTTCTTTTGGAAATTTAAATGGGACATAGTCGTGGAATATCTAAGTGGCACTCTCCAGAGACTCAGAGGAGTGGGCCATGTTGGAGCTACAGGTTAGTGGGTATGACATTTGCTATGATAAAAAGTGAGAGCTGGGAGGGAAGGGCACAGATTTAAGATGGTCAAAAATAATAAAAATAAATGGTAATTCAGAAAGGAAGCAGAGCCAGCAAGGCAGACCTAGGGTTTGTTCTCAGAGATGCTGGAGAAAAGCCAGGGCAGAAGAGGAGTAAGAGACTGTGTCTGAATTCCTGGACTTCAGTAAAGTCTACTGGTGAAGTAAGACAAAACCAGGAATGTTGTCACTAAATATGTTCATTAATGTATTGATTAAGTTTGATGGAGAATTTGTGTCAGGAGAGTTCTCTCTCAACGCTTTCAAAATTTTGAGAGTCTAGAATTTTTAAAAAATGGATAGCACCACAGATGAGATCTAAGAACAATTTTGATAGCAGGGGAAATGCTAACAATGATTTTAGGTTGAGAGGAAGGAGAGGGGGAGAAAAAAGAGAGTAAATTATAAAAGTTTTAAAACAACAAATCTTCTGTCCATGTTAAGAAGGATGAAATTAAAAGTACAGAGGTAGGATATTGGTATTAATAGAAAGAATTTTTGTTCACTGAAACAATTAGGGAGGAAGTCAAGAACTATGAAGCCCTATCTATATTTAGAACTTCACATAAAGCCAAATTAAAGTCTTCAGTAAAGGACTAGATAACTCTTTTTTGTATGTTTTCTACAAAGAAAAAAACTGGTAGAAAGAGAATTGAAACTAATTAGGCACCTTTTTGTCTGAGCAGAGTGTTGTGGAGGTGAAAAATAAATTTTAAAATGACTCTCATCTTTAAGAAGTTCACAAAATTCAAACATGTCATACAGTGACTTCACACAGGAAGATTTAATGAATAATATTTTGATGATTACAAGTTACATTGAAGGTCTATGGCACGTGGCAATTTGCAACTGAGGCTCAGATATGGATAGTGTGCTCGTGCTTATTTGTAGAAGTGAGTCACTTGACTGGAGGAAGCTAGGCAGTACTTAGCATTCTTAGCCCTCATAAGCTACCAAGTTCTGCTGACTCTAGGGTGATCACATCTCTTTATTGTCTCGTAACATTCTGAATATAATAAGATTTTAACTAAAACTGGTTTCCTAAACTAAAATTATTAACCCAGACTTGTAGACAGATACATTATAAAATTATATTTCAATTATCACCCATTTATCTACTCATAACATATACATTTGGTAAGAATTTTATGCTGTGTTTGTTAGAGTGTTTACAACTTTAAATAAAACTTACTCTAACTAGCTATGGCAGTAAATAAATATCTCTCATAAGAAGCCAGAGAAGGAGCACCTTCAGAGTAAGTGAATTCAATGGCTCAGCAATTTTATAACAGACCTAGGTTTTTAAATTTTTTCTACTGTTCTACTGTCTACATTATTGGTGTCATCCTAATGCTTATTTCACTTGTTATCCAAAATTGGTTGCTCATAGCAATGTGCTTCCTTCTGAAGAAAAACGACTTTTTTTTCTAGAAGCACTAAGCTAGGTTCCCCTTATGTTTCATTGACTCACATTGACTTGGCCTACTCCTCCTTGACCAAATCCCTGGGTTAGGGGTTGGAATTACGATTGGTGTAGGGAGTCCATCATGACATTCATTGCATATGCTTTGAGAAGATTTCAGAATTAGGGCATTTCCGAATGTCTTTGAACATACTCATCTTGATAGCAGAATGTTATCATAGTTCATAGGACAACCGTTGAGGCTTTCACTTGATCCAGCTGCTGCAAGGTATTTTTGATGGTTATTGAGAAGCCAGTACATTTTGAGCCAGTGTAGAATGTAGCTGATGACAGAGATAATATAGTAAATTAAAATTATTTGTTTGAAATACTGAAACCAGTAAAGAGATAATTTGAAGCTGTTTTTTAGTGAGAGCTCATTCTATATTCATTTAACAGTCTTTAATTTGCTGTCAGATCCAGGACCTGAAACAGCTCATTGTGTCTACCCTATGTTAATTTGTTTTAGCAAAATTTTACTTATTTTTTATGGCATATATTAATTAAAGCCTTTATACCCTACTTTATTTCTCATCTTATTTTAAGATGAAATAAAATTAAAGTTTACTGAAATGATAACTAAAGAATTTAATATCAATGCTTTTCTTACATTCTTCCTCCTGATTCCCAGAGAAAACTCATATTTTAATCAATGCTTTTATTAATCTTATATGATTATAATTTTAAAAGAGCATTTCTGAATTTGTCTTTCTATTTTGCATAGATAATTATATTTTAAAAACCTATGTTGAATTTCTAGAAAGTTGGTTATACTTCTAAATCTGCTACTTTTGCCATACCAACAGTGTCTAGAATCATTGACTGAACTAGA